AAAGATGCTTTCTGTAAGTATTTCCTAGATTCTCACAGGGCTATTTTGAATTTTTTCAAGTAATCACAGTGAGCCCAAGCCTGCTGAAATGCAAAACAGAATGACTGTACAGAAAATCCACTTATTTCCTGGAGTCCCGAGTTGAAATAGCAGGTAGCAGTCAAGACTGGAGAAAGATGATTTTCTGGGAAGAATGTAAAGATGTGTTATATTGTAAGTATTTCCTAGATTCTCACAGGGCTATTTTGAATTTTTTCAAGTAATCACAGTGAGCCCAAGCCTGCTGAAATGCAAAACAGAATGACTGTACAGAAAATCCACTTATTTCCTGGAGTCCCGAGTTGAAATAGCAGGTAGCAGTCAAGACTGGAGAAAGATGATTTTCTGGGAAGAATGTAAAGATGTGTTATATTTGAGAGAGTCAGAAAAAGTAATATTCTATACTACTATACCACTAATGTGAAATCAGTATGATAGAGCAAGAGAAGCCTCCCTGTGTGTCTCTGCACCTCATCCACAAAAAGAGGTGTCTGGTAGAGAGTAGGTTAAGATAAGGCTTCAGCCAGTTCACACACAACAGCCTGTATAGATGGGATGTATTAAAGTGCATTGAAGCAACTATGAGGCTCTTGAGAAAAGATATGCCTCAGTCTTCTGGAACTACTTCATTTTATTTTTTTTTAAGATAAAACCTTAAGTTTTCAGTTCCTTGGAGGCGGAAAAGACCGCCAGAGTTCCCTGGATGGCTCTCAAAAAATCCATTCAAGTTAGGTTCAGGACATCTTTATTGGTGCCTTGAGGTGGAAGGAAGGAAGGAAGCAAAAGAAAGAGAGAAAGAGACAAAGAGACAAAGAGAGAAAGAGAGAAGAGAAAGAGAGAAGAGAGAAAGAGGGAGGAAGAAAGAGAGAGAGAAAGAGAGAAAGAGAAAGAGAGAAAGAAATAAAGAAAGAAAGAAAGAAAGGGAGAAAGAGAGAAGGAAGATAGGTCAAAACCAGCCAAATAACAATGCAACCAAGATTAGTATCACCTTTCCATTTTTATTTGAGATTAATATTGATTCAGTTCTACATTTATCTGTGAGAGAAAGTATTGGATTGAGTTTGTATCCTGGACTGTATTACATAAATCTTCTTCAATATTTATTTCAATCAAGAAACATGTGTTTAATATCAGATAGTTAAAAAAAAAAAACAAAAACAAAAAATAAACACAACCAACCAACCCCACAACTGTAATATGGTTAAAAGGATTGTAAGTGTTGGTAAAATTTAAGCAGCTGTAGGCAACTCTGTACCAAATACATAAAAATGAACACAGTGATCAGCTCTCTCGTGCACATCTCTGGAAGATGCTCGTGTGCAGAAATTAATGGAACATAAAGTTAGGACAATATTAAATACTTTCTAAATAGGAAGAGGGATTTAAATGCTTCAGTGAAACATGCCCTCTTACACTGAAGTACAAGTACCATAGGAAAGAAGTGAAAACCAACCAAAGTTCCCCAGCAGTCTCCATCATGCTTAAACCATGCCTTACAGATTGTGCTTGGCTTTTTTTCAGTGCTACTTTGGAGCATGACGATGTTCAGCAGCCAGACGGTGCTGTCAGGAATTATAGTGTGTGTTCATGAGACTCCCTCTCCTTTCAAGCCAGAGTCTACATAATTTTTTTCAATTACCTTCCAACCACATATTGAGCAGTATCGATGTATGTTTTTGTAACATCCTCCTTAATAATTAATTTCCTAGTCTCCATGTTCATTTTAGAGGGGATCTTCTCTACCATGGAGCCAAACTTTTTCTGTGCAAAGCAATCACATTAATAAACGTTCTGACCTGTCAGCTGTCCAGACCTCATCGGTTGCTGGCAATGAATCTTCCCAACAAGTCAAAGCATGCAAATCTAGCTAACAACATTACAAGCATGAAGAACAAAGAGAAAGATCTGCTTATGTCATATGTAAAATTTATTTTACATTCATGTTGCAGAAAAGTTCAAGAACACATACAAAAAATATCAGGAGATAAATTACGAGTTGTGTGCATGCATTATACCAAAGAACCTTTGGGTCTGTTTGTTCCATTCATAAAAACTTTTTAGATAAAAAATAACAATAATAAGCAAAAAACGGAGTAGTTTGTAGCTGTTGACATCTTCATGTTCTGTAATAAAATGATGTACCGGTTTTGGACCACCCATGTATAGGAAGCAGCATCATTATTTTTCTAAAGACAGAAAAGAAGAAAAAGATGTCTTAAGCTAATTGCCTGAAAATTAAACTTAAAGTGTCAAAATCTTCCTACAGTCATTTTTCATAGTGTTTATACAGTTCTTCTCCTTTTCATGCCTCAGTTTATCAGCTAAAGGGAAGCACTCCAAAACAATACTGCAGTCTATTTTGAAGTCCTGCGAACCAGCTGTCAAGCAGTTTGCCAAGCCAGTGCCATTTCTTTGTGTCCATCACTCTTGCATTGCACTGCAATTCAGAAACAAGCCAGGGATGTCTTTAACTGTTACGAAAGCAGCTATCAAAATGAGAAAACACTGTACATCTCTGTGGTGATTCCTGCAGACAGACTGAAAGATGTCTGTGATGAGTGGGCATTCCCCCCGCAGCAGCGAAGCGCTGAAGATTCACCCTTCAGGAGACAAGGAACAAGAGGGAACAGAGCCGCTCAGGTGGCTCTGATGGAAATGTGAGCCAAAGCTGAGACACCTTTTTACAAAGCTCCTGTCAGAGGTACTCTCATGCTGTTTTCCTTCACTGTGAAAGATCTGTCTTTTGAAGCTACCACAATATAAAAGGAGTGGATAGGGAGGCTGTAGTGTACTTCTGCTGCTGTCTTCGTCTTCACAGTGTATCAGAGGACAGACGCCGTTTGATGTTTGTCTTTTCTGACATCATAAAGTCTCAAGTCATGCTGCCAAGGGCTTCACATCAGCTTCCTTGATGGGGCAGCCAGACATCAGTAAGGAATTGTGTTGCTTCCAGCCACCCACCACATACAGGGGGACACCAGAAGAAGGGCTTCTCTGTAGGGGTTTTTGGTGTCTGTCATGTCTGTCTTCAGTTCTGATTAAATGAGTGTGTGATGAATGGGGGATTTCCCCCCAGTTTGGCAGCTCCTCCTGGGTCCCAGAGGCCACCAGTGTCTTACTGGTACAGC